AAGCAACTTTACCGGGGAGGAAAGAGTCTATCGTCCCCCCTCACAGGTTACAGACTCTCGTAAAGAGGAACCTGGGCATAGAAACTGAAGCAGAGGCCGTGGAGGAACACCGTTTGCTGGCTGGCTAGCCTGGACTTGCTCACCATTTTTTTACCACACAGGGTCATCTCCCCAGTACACTACGACACTGCCCCCAGTGGCCTTGGCCCTCCCATCTCAATCAGTATTTAATAAACCACCCTACAGAATTACCCACAGGAAATGTGATGGCCTCAATCTCTCAATTGACATTCCTCTTCCACAATGATTCTAGAGTGTGTGAAGTTGACAAAAACCAACCAGAACATTTTTAAAAAGAAATTTATTTAAAAGCAATTCTTTATGTCTATACATATATAATATATAATATATTACCATTTATTAATGACAAAGCAAATTTATATACTGAGATGGATGTGCTTGTTTATTTTTACATGAAGAATTAAATCTTGGCTGAATGTTTGATATTATAGCACACACACCATCTCTTGCTAACTACTTGCTGTCCCAGGAGCACTCTCAGGGCTACTGTCATCAGGGAGGCTGCATGATGTGTGGTATGGACACTCATGTGACCCAGAGTCTCCTCCACTCCAGGGATGTCATCCAGCACTCACTCAAGTTGACTGCCTTCCTTCACAAGCACAAGCAGAAAGATGCTCATGTGTTTCTGATATTCAGCTTGAATGCCATGCGCGCATCCTGCCTCGAGGGAGCAAGCACTAGGGACCCGGCCTCTAAGGGCAGCACACTGATCTGCGAGATATTTGGGGGCTCCTGGAGATCTCAGATCTGAGATCTCCTCTGCCTTCAAGCACCTTCGACTCCTTCCTAAATCTCCACTTGGATATCAAAGCGGCTCCGAGTGTGAACGAAGCCTTGGAGAAGTTAGCAAAGCCTAAAAAGCTGTGTGCAAAAAATGCTATCTTTGCCGCAGCTGTCAGGAAATGATGCTGCTTCCAAGACCCTGTCTGTGCAAAGCGCCTCCTGTTGGTGTTGAATGGCTTCTTAGACTTCACGGGTGACAAAGTGTCAGGGGAGCGAGGTACCTTGAGTACCTTGACCTGCAGCCATTCATGTCAGAACCTAATAGAAGACCGTTGGTGTATACCCTCTACGCTGTGATGGTCCATGTCGTGTGACTTGTCCCAGAGGACGTTACTTCCGTTTTGTCAAAACTGGTAAAGGCCGGTGGTATAAGACGGATGATTTTAAGGTGGCCAGGTGCGATGTGACTTCTGTCCTGAGGGAGCCTGCCTGTGTGCTCTTCGACGTCCAGCAGACTGATCTCAAAAAGGACAGTGTCACTGCGCCGGTTGGCAGAGTAAACAAGGCTCTTGGCCCCTGAATATCAGGTTGAGAAAACCCAGCAGAGTAAGATCAACGGAGGATCTCGCATGGAAACTGCAGAGCCACAGGGACACCCGGAGAATACAGCGACCGGAGAAATCTCCTCGGATCGCTGGAAAGCCCTCCAGGAACACAGCAGCCCGAAGCCTGTGCTGAATCTCACTGAAACCGCTCTGCCCGCCACAGGTTCACCAGTGCAGACCCAGAGGGCACTCGGGGACAAGGAGAATTACCTTTGTTGCAATTCCTCCAGGCTCCTGTCTGCTGGGGGTTGGGGGGTGGGGTCAGGTAGGGAGACTAAGAACAAGGGCGGGGGTCCTGGCTGTTCACTAGCTCTCATTCCTCCAGCTGACACCCTGAGAAACAGAGGGGATACCCTTGGAGCAGGAACTGGATTCGCCCACCAGGCAGGACAGACTGTCTCACCCTTCAGGTGGTCTCCATTCGTCTGCTGTGGACTTGCCTGCTCCCCGCTGAGCCCCGAGAATGACAATTTGAATGTAGAAGGAACTGCTCAGGGTCTTGATAAAAGTTAAACCCTAGAAAGCTCCAGGATTCTTGGGAGCAGTCTGCAGCGCCCTCTGCTGGAGTTCATCGGCTTTGAGCAGGGTAGACTTACCGCCCACAAGCTTTTGATTCAGGATTTCGATTCAGCCAATGACGCGTTTGCCAAATCCAGGTTTGATAAATATTTCCTGTAAAATTTTTCTCTTGAATTTGCTGTATAGAACACATTATAGGGATTTTTTTTTGATTCATTGTACTTGAAATGCTATTCTTTTGACCAAATAAATTCCGCTACTTGACACTGCCAGTTTTAGATTTTGCGGTGAATGCAAACTGATCCTGGCCTCATAGATGTTTGCCCGTGGTTTTCTTTAGATAGGTATATTTCTGAGACATGAATTACAATGAGTGAAGAGTTTACCTGTTAGAAATAATGTGAAGAAAGGCAAGAGGATTCGAGTTGTGCTTTAAAGAATGTCTGTCCTGGAATAGCAGGGCACAGGCACTCTGATGCTATGAAGGGTAAGTGGGGGAAAGTGGGTGTAGGAGAGGAAAGAGGAAGGGTGTTTGAAGATGCTGGTCGTGAGGGGGCAGCTAGAGAGACAGCTCTGAGATTAAGAGTACTGACCACACGAGAGAGCCAACACGGTTAGCGCAGGTGTAGGTGAGCCAGTCCTGAAACTGTGACCGTGGGAGAACTGTCCCCATTTCCCATCTGGCAGACCAACCCTACAGATGCCCAGGCCCAGGGTTATGACCCGCAGACCCGAAGTTACAGGATCTCCACAACACAGGGCAGCAGCTGGATGTCCAGGAAGATTCCTAGTGTGGTCCCAGCATCGAACATGTAATGTTGACCAGGGGCCTCAAACCAGACTAATGAACACTTGCAGGTATGGTCAAAGGGGTATATGGAGTAACTTGTTGGGTTACACTGCAGCTTCCATAACAAAAGTTTTAATTCCTTCCCTTTTAAAAATGTTCTCATTTTATTCTCTTCCCTTTTTTTTCTCTTGAATTTTTTTTTATTTGGGGGGAGATTGGTGTGCAGTGGCAGAGAGCAGATGCGAAGGGACAATGAATGAATGGAATCAAGATACATGATGTTAAAAACACATAAAATAGCCGGGCGGTGGTGGCGCACGCCTGTAATCGCAGCACTCGGGAGGCAGAGCCAGGCGGATCTCTGTGAGTTCGAGGCCAGCCTGGGCTATAGAGCTAGTCCAGGACAGGGTCCAAAGCTACAGAGAAACCCTGTCTCGGAAAACCAAAAAACAACAACAACAAAAAAAGCAAAAACAACAACAACAACAAAAACACATAAAATAAATTTAAAAGAAAAAGGACCCAGATCTGATTTTCAGCACCCACACTGCCCCTCACAACTTTCTGTAACTCCAGTTCCAGGGGATCAGCTACCTCTTCTGGCCTCTGCAGGCACTGGACACACATGATGCATGGACATACACACAGACAATAACCCCCACACATAAAAATCAATCAATCAATCAATCAATCAATCAACTAATTAATAGCCGGGGGGAGTCCTTTACAAACCCCCTTCTGCGTTGAGGCCTGAGCCAGAGGGAAGGTGTTGTTACATTCAGCTAAGGTAAATGAGACCTTGTGGTGAGACACAGTCAGAAGGAGGAGGCTGTATCAGGAAGGGGCACCGACAGCCTGTGCCTACAGCACTTTACCAGAGTTACAGTAAATTGGTTAGCTCTTGGGTGGGAAAATTGTTTGTCTGGGTAAGTGTAAGGCATACATAATCTGTAAATGACCATGCCATGTGTTCAGAGGAGCAAAATCAAACTGTTAGCTTTGAACTTCTACTTTTGAAGGATTTAAAAAGTAAAAATTTAAAATAAAAAATGAGTTAAAAAATTTAAATTAATCAATAGAAGTTTGATTTTTCTATTTATTAATTTAAAATTTCTATTTCTATTGATTAATGAAGCGGGAAGGTTTTTTTTTTAGCATCTTCTATTAGTTTTCAGCCTCTCTCTCTCTCTCTCTCTCTCTCTCTCTCTCTCTCTCTCTCTCTCTCCTCCTCCTCCTCTCTCCATCCTCTCTGTTTTCTTTTCTGCTTTCCTATGTTTCTGATTAATTCTTATACACTTGACGTCTTCATGTATTATACCAAATCATTTTCCCCCAGCCTTACTCCAGTCCTCTCCCCTCTCCCTAGTGATCTCTTTCTCTCCACTCTGATATGATCTGGAAACCCTCCATGTCCTGTCTTTTAATTTATTTGTTCCATTTGTGCAGATTTAACGATGTCTTTTATCTTCATTGTTGCCGGTTGTTAATCTATTGAGTTTTGACTATCATTGAAAAAACATTTTTTTTTTTTTTTTGGTTTTTTCGAGACAGGGTTTCTCTGTGTAGCTTTGCGCCTCTCCTGGAACTCACTTGGTAGCCCAGGCTGGCCTCGAACTCACAGAGATCCGCCTGGCTCTGCCTCCCGAGTGCTGGGATTAAAGGCGTGCACCACCACCGCCCAGCGAAAAAACATTTTTAATTAAAAAAAAAAGGTATTGGTTTTTCCAGATAAGGTTTCTTGGCATAGTCCCAGGTATCCCGGATCTCCCTCTGTAGACCAGGCTGGCCTCAAATTCACCGAGATCCGCCTGCCTCTGCCTCCCAAGTGCTGGGATTAAAGGCGTGTGCCACAACTGCCCAGCCCGGAAACAGGATTTTAAAAATTGTTCTTATTTTTATTTTATGGTTATTTGTATTTAGCCTGCGTGTATGCATTTGTAACTTGTGTATGTCTGGTACCTGTGAAGTCAGAAGAGAGTGTTGGATCCCCTGGAACTGGAGTTAGACATGGTTATGAGCCAACCTGTGGGTGCTGGGAACTGAACACAGGTTCTCCAGGAGAGCAACCATTTCTCCAGCTCAAAGGGAGTTTCTCATATTTAAATATTTTGCTTAAATTTGGAAATGTCATAAAGAAATGATATCTGAGCATATTTGAAACCTATATTTGGTTTTATTGGCAAGCTGACTAGAATCTGGTTAAAGAGCTGGAAGCGTTCAGTGTGAAGATTCTATTGCTTTGGGGGCACAAGCCTCTCCGCATGGTGTTCACCATGGCTTTATTTGATCTTGCTCTTGAGGGGTTCTTGGTAGTCTGAAAAGATAATTGGTGTCGGGATCGGTACGAGAACCCACCACATCCTGCAGCATTTCCATTTTCTTCGGCAAGCACCGATTTCATCTTCTATGACTTTGCAAACGTCTCGTCTGCAAATGCCCTCCAGATGGAGACAGTGTTTCTCAGAAGCACCAAAGCCACTTCTAACTGCAGAGAAGAAACCAGGGAGCAGTTAGCCCAGTGTGTGAACGCCAAAGCATCAACGACCTTGCATGGGAGGACATCATAATTCTGGGCGGAGTACCTCTTTCTGTGAGGAAAGGGAGCCAGATCAAAGATCCCCTTAGCAGCTCCTCCGCATTGACCCTCTCTCCCCTTCTCCTAACAGCTCACTTATCCACAGCTTTCTCCTTGATTTCCTTATTAATATGTGAAAAGTCTAGATAAAGCTTCAGACGTTACTTTGTTAAATATCAGACCGAAATGAGAAGGACAAAGACAAAATAGATGCCCTAAGTATACTGATGTCTTCATGGCTTTACTCCTTTATATAAAATGTCAACACATTCTTGCTATTCACTCACCAAACACTTTTCTTTATAATAATAGAACAGTACAAATGACATAAAGAGTCCCTTATTTACACAGTGGTTATAATTGATTGGGAAATCTAACCATACAAAAAACAAACAAACCCTGGAGTAATGAGGTGATTCAAAAAGTGGCAAATGTTTCAGACAAAATAATACAGTAATGAATCAGAGATAGCCTGGGGGATAGAGCTGGTAAGATGGACATAGACCGCTTTCTGAGGTCATGAAAACAATAAGCAATTATCCCAGTCAAAGTACAAAGAACACACAGGACAGCGAGGACTGAATCCCCAGACTAAGACTTGGATGGATGGAGCAGATCAGAATAAGTCAGGTAAGATTAAACACAGGATTAAGCTTGTACCAGGCTTATGGACCATGGTAAGGGTGAAGATTCACACCTCTAATGTGTGGTTGCCAGACCTGATCCTGATCTCCCTTCATGACGCTTATGGCAGCTGTCTCAATGTTTACTGTTCTCACTTTTTCTTTCCTTCTTTCCCTCCCTCCCTTTTGAGAGGGCAGAATCAAGATTTCATAGAAAAACAGTATAAGGTAGTCAGTTATGGTGCTAGTCTATGCTAAGCTAATATTCCTATTTTATTATTTTTAATTGATACATGCATATAATGCTATACAGCATGAGGTTGTATATCATTAGTCCATATTGTGGAATCACTGTTTCCATTGGGTGAGGCTGTCTGTGTGTTGGAGCTGGTATCTGTGGTACCGATGTACACTGGGAGAAAGTTAACTCCTTATAGCAGTGACTATGGACTTTACATTTCAGGTAGACTTTGACCACTGGTGTACATTTGACACTGGCCACAGTGACTCTAGGATCCGGTGCATGAGTGAGTTCACTATGGTGACTGATTTAGTAACTGGTGCAGAGGTGCTGTGAGATGTCTTTCTGTATGCTGTGAATATGTGTTGCTCTGATTGGTTGATTAATAAAGCTATATTGGCCTATGGCAAGGTAGCTTAGAGGCAGACAGGAAATATAAGCAGATAGACAGGAAGAAGAAAAGAGAGGAGAGAGAGGCCAGCCTGCCACCCAAGGAACAACATGCCAGCAAATCAGTAAAGCCATGGAACATGTGGCAAAACATAGAGTAATAGAAATTAGTTAATTTAAGATATAAGAGCTAACTAGCAAGAAGCTTGAGCCATAGGTCATCCAGTTCATAATTAATATAAGCCTCTGTGTGTTTACTTGGGTCTGAGTGGCTGCGGGACCAGGCAGGACACAGGAAAACTTCTGACTACACATAGGCATATGCAGAGAGCTGCTAGTTCATGGACTCTGCTTGTGAAGAAGCTCAGTATGTGAATGGCTCAGTATTCGAGGAGTAAGAAAAAGAGCTGGGTTCTGGCATTGGGCCCAGTTGGAATGTTTACAACACTGATGATCAAAGACATGATCCTGGTAGGAGAGTTGGTAGCTCCAGTCTTGGAGTGAAACCATGGTGCCTACTTCTTTGTAGAGGTGGCTAAGGTGAGCATCATCTCCCTGTTTCCATATCCCTGGGAGAATTGGTTACTGGTTACCCCAATGGCAGAAGATCCCAGTGTCCTCTGCAGAGCAGGCTGCTTGAGGACCACAGGTGCAGCTAATAACGGTAATGTCTGCTTTTCATTTTCGTTCACAGCCGTCTCTTGCAGTCTTTGGATGCCAATCTCACAGAAACCTGCTCTGTGTGAATAATAAGATTTTCTTTTCCTTTTTTCTCCACTGTGCTCCTGGGCATCCTTCAATGGCCCTGGAGCCCTCACAGGATACTTTGCTTAAACAATTGTTATAAGTATCTCGTGTGTGAGAGTGGGATGGAAGCCAGTATCTCCTACTCTTCCATCTTCATGGAATCACTGCTCTAAGCTACAATTCTGGTCTTTCAATTTCCTCATGTTTTGTTTGATTTGGAAGGAAGGAGGAGCTGCTTTTTCTCTCCATGTTTTGTCCTGAACTATCTACTTCAGAGGTTAAGTGTATCTTAGTCATAGACTACCAGTTTTCTGTGCATGTCGTGTGTCAGGGGTGGCATTGAAAACAACATGAAAATACTATAGATGAGAGAAGAATAGGCAGCATGAAGAATATAAACTACAGACAGAAAATGTGGAAAAAGCAAACAAAATGTTAATGACAAATTATGTAATGGTGACAGGAGAATTTGTGAAGAAAGAGACATATTTAAATTATTTACACAGACAGCAGCACTGAAACCAAAGACTGACATAACTATAGCAAATCACAAAAGGAAAGCATAAGAAGGTCAACATTTCCAGGGGTTTTCAATAATAAGTCATGTAGAAGCACAACCCCAGTCAATCAAGACAGAACTTTAGGAGATACTCTATAAATGGCAATTAATTATAAACATAAAAAAGAAAAACCAAATAAAAGGTAGCAAATACTCTGAGACATAATTTATAACATGGGCCCAGCAAAAGTGAAGGTAAATATAAGTGTGCTCGTAAAAGAAATGTCAAAAAAGTATCTATCTATTGTTGTAGAATTGGGTTCTCAGAAATTCCACCTTCCAAGAAAAAAATTAAGTAGGGGCCTAAAAAGGTGGGTCAACATTAAAAGCATTGGCTGCTCCTCCCAAAGACCTGGATTAGGTTCCCAGCACCCACATGGTAGCTCATAACCATCTGTAACTCCAGTTCCAGAGGATTCAATGTCCTCTTCTGGCCTCCGTGGGTACTGCATACACATGGTGTTCTGAAAAAAGCAGGCAAACCCTCAGATATATAACATAAAAATAAATACATCTTTTAATAAAATTGAAATGTTTTACAAAGTCATCTGCAAAAAAAAAACACTAAAGAATGTTTATGGAGGAAACAATGTAATGTAGACTGTCTTCAGAGCTGAGTTCAAATTCTGTGTTAATACCACTAAATTGATTATATTAACAAGTGTTCTCCAACATTTGTAGATCTGGAAAGAGCAGAAATAAATGCTACTCAGTTTGGGATATAAAAAGTTACAAAAGCAATTGTTCTCTTCCTAAGAAAGAGCACAAGTTGGACAGTGCTTTTAAAATAGATCCTGGGGTTTAGAGCTCACTGCAGGAGCTGAGGACTTAGTGGAAACTAACTGAGCTTTGTCCAGCTAAAGGGAAGAGACTGGCAGATGTTTTCATGTGTGGTTGATTGGTAGGAGAAAGAAGCAGCTCCTGTTGGCAGGAATGAGAAGAGAGTCCTAAATTTCAAATGAACATCTGAAGGTAGAGGGCGACGTGTTTTTTGTTGTTGTTTTGTTTTTGTTTGGCTTTTTTTTTTCAATACAGGGTTTCTCTATGTAACAGCCTTGACTGTCCTGGAACTGGCTCTGTAGACCAGGCTGGCCTCGAACTCACAGAGATCAGCCTTCCTCTGCCCCCCAAGTGCTGGGATTAAAGACACGCACTACAATTGCCTTGCTACAAAACTAATTTTATGGTTGGGGGAGTCACTGCAACATGAAGAACTGTATTAAAGGGTTGCAGCATTAGGAAGGTTGAGAACCACTGTTCTAGAGAGTATTCATAAGATACATAGGGCAACTCAATGTGGTGGGCATGCAGGGGCTATTCCAATTTGAGGTCTTAATGGGAGACTATTAAGACCTTACTTGGAGTCTCAGATCACAACCTCCACCCCTGTAAAGGGAACATGGGGGCTGAGGGAAAAAACTCCTCTCTCTTTAGTTACAAATAGGCACATAGACAGACTGGTAAGGTTTGATGAGCGCAGAAGACAGGACACACTGTGGGTATGAGGCACCTGGTGCCCGAAATAGCCTGAGAGACAGGAACTCCAACAGAACCTCTTTGTACATTGGATCGTTCATTCCAAGACTGGAGTTCTAAAGAAAAGTTCAAGGGAGACTAGCTAAGTCCTTTAACAAGTGAATGGCTGTGGACTAGAGGAGAGGACCGGGCACTGAGCCCTGGAGCTCTCCTCCAGGAAGAATCACCGGAAAAGATGAGGAAGCAGCGACAGAAACTGAAGAGGAGCCGTCCATGAGGTAGACCGAGAATCAAGTGAAGCTTCCCTTCTGGAACATTCGGGTGAATATTATAAAGAGGGGAGGGGCTGACTTTGGAAAAGTCTGTTAACAATGATAAGTGGCCGGTTGGGCCAACAGCAAGGTGATTATTAATGCCTTCTGTGGGGAGGAAGAGAAAGCTTTTTTTTTTTTTAAATGAGTGGGTAAAAACAAAAGCAATTTCAATAGCAGAGTGGGAGGCTTAGGGAGAATGTTTGATGGGGATAGGTTTAAGAGAGAATGAAAAGGGATGATTTCAAGAGCAAGAATACAGATCATGATTTTTAAGGCGTTTTCCACAAAATGGAACAGGAAAAGCAATGACAGTTTTGTTTTTAAGATCAGATAAACATTCAAGTATTTGTATCTTAATGATGATAACCCAGTAGGAATATGATTAATGTAAAATCACTGCTATAATGAACTGCAGCAGAAAGATCTCCAAATACACAAGAGGAGGTGGATATATTACACACATTTATAATAAATCTTCTAGTTTTTCTTTGAGTGTTAGAAACACTTATTGTGAAATAGCTATTTTAAGTATGTTCTAATCTTTTCTTGATCCATATTACCAGATTACTATGAAGTATGCTATTCTTTCAATAAACACCTTTTCTGTCTTGTTGATCTTTTGTTTCCTTTCTTGTATTTGTTAGCTCCTTTCTGATTTATTCTTTGGATGTATCATGATATCTCTTCTAACATCCCTATAATGCATGTTCAGCCTACTAAATTTTTGAAGTCGTTTGCCATTCTTTACATCCATCCTTATGTTTTCAATTACTGCATATGAACCCATTCCACACTAAGTCATTGCAACATTGTGTCTTTGTTTATTATTAGTCTGTAGTTGTCCCCCTTCTCATCCCATGGTCTATTTTGCAAAGCATTTTTCATGGATAACAACTTTTACAAAGCGTATTACTTAGGGTGTTGTTGGTTTATATTTTGACCCATTTTACAAAGCCAATAAGCCCCCTTGCTAACTTCCTATTGGCCGACAGGGACTCTGACTTTTCACTTGTTTGGCAATAATAATTGCTTGGTAGGTTTGTCTCCCCCGCCCCCCAACCCCCACCTCCATCAAATTTCTAGGTCTTTGTGACCCTCTACCTGATGAGATTCCATCCTTCTCTTCTGACAGAGTAGATGTCATCATGGATGTTCCTGCCAGTGTCCTAGAAGATCTAGTCATCTACAGAGAACTCCCCATGCCTTGTAAGGAACCCAGAGACACAAAGAAAGGATATAGTACAATGTGATTGCATTTGGAATTTGGGTTAATGGCAATGGATGTCTATTTTACTCTGACATAATCTTAGGGGAGCTGTTGATATTGGTTTCTGAACCTGTGAAATTAATTAATTTCTGACCTACCAGAGAGACATTTAAACTGAAGACCTTACCCTCTATAATTAGCCATCAACTTACCTGGAGGTAAGAGGGCCAAAAGGAAGAGGAGAGTATGGAGGAGCAGATGGAATCTCATGGCTGAAAGGTCCATGAGGTGATGATGTAGAGATCTGGTGAAATCTGAGGTCTTGGAGTATGGCAGATGCAGAGCTTTTATGATGGCCCTAGGTCTGTGGTTTGTTCTTGGCTAGCAGAGCCTAACCAAAAGAGAATAACTCATTCTCCCACATCAAATCTTCAGGCACACAAAAGGACATAAATGTGGCAATAACTTGATGAGTGAGAAAACAGTAGATCCAAGATAGCCAATATAGTCCCTGAGGGAAAGAACAAAGTCAAAAAACAAACAGTACCTAACTTCAATACTTACTGTAATATAAATTCACAATAATCAAGATGTATCACAAAATAGCACATCAATGCATCAATAGAAGAAGATGAAAGTCCCAGAATTAGACTTAGAAAAAAATGGTTGCTTTTTTGACAGAAACCAAAGGTAACTCAGTGGGAAAAAAAAATACATTTCTCAACAAATAGTGCTACAGCAAAACCCGAAACCCACGTTTAGAACTATGTATCTAAGTACATACCTTAGAACTGTCACAAAAATTAAGTTAAGATAAATGGCATTGCTCAACATAAAACACAGAGTGGTGTGGTGCCTAGAAAATAATGTTGGAAAATATCTAGGTGACCTACAATTTAACGCTGACTTTTTAAAAGATAAAATCTCAAAAGCATGACTTATAAAAGATAAAATTGACATCTTAGACTTCATTAAAATTAACAACTTTTCTTATGTAAAAGACATTCTTAAGAAGATGTGAGGAGAAAGGATACTGGGAGGAAAGCCTTTATAAAATACCTAATAAAATTCTGGTATCCAAACTACACAAACAATGCCTACAAATTGGTAAGAAAGCAAGAAACACAAAATCAGATCAAAAGAATGAAGAGGAATCTTGCCAGAGATGGGCAGTAAGTAAATCTGCTAAAAAGAAAAGGGAAAGAAAACTCCCCCAGCATCATACTTTATTGTAATTGTGATATTAAAGAAGAATCCCATTACAGACCAAATGACCCAAACCTCTAACACTAGCCCTATTGGATATCAGAAATGGTGTGAAGAAAGAGGAATTTTCACTCATTATAGGACACCAGTACAACTTTGCCATTAAGTGAAAGTGATTAGCAAAATTTATTTTTACCATGTTAATCCTTGGAATCTACCTAAATAGGAAGTTTTATACCCATACAAAACCTGCACATGAACTATAATTAATAGCAACTTTTTATAACTGTTCAAAATTTAAAAAGCTAACAAGATATTTTCTAATATACATCCTGATACAGGAAGCATTTAGAGTCCAGTGAGACATGACTAAAAAAGAACCACTCCAGGACATATTATAATTAAAATAACAAAAATTCAGGACAAAGGAGAAAATTTAAAGGTTTGAAGAAGAAAATCCAAGTCACAGATAAAGACAAACTGTTCATAAACAAAACCTAGTTTCTCACCGGAAGCTAAAAAAACTCCAGAGGACATGGAATGATGTGTTTCAAGCTCTGCTAGAAGATGACAGCCAAGCTAAAATACTATACCCTTCAAAACTGAATGAGAAGTAGAGACTTTCCAAAAGACGCACAAGTTGGCGAGGTGAGGTTGGATGTGGCGTGTTCTGTTTCTCTGGTCTTTCAGCGTTCATCCCAATGTCTGGCTCCTGGGTTTGTTTTTATTAATAAGACCTTTTAAGATTTGTGCTAGACATAACTAAAAAAAAAAGAAGAAAGACTTAAAAACAGCAGAACCTAGTACATATCTTTTAATAATAACTTTGATTATAAATGGTTTTAATTCTCTAATTAAAAATTGTAAAATGATTGATTTTTTTAAATAAATAAATCTCAACAACTTGCTGCTTGTAAGAAACTCACCTGGCTGGTCAAGATATTCTCAGACTGAATATGGAAAGAATAGAAAATTGTATCCAGGTAAACAGAAGGCAAAAAGTAAACAGAAGGAAGCATATTCATAACTAATACAGCAGGCTTCAAGGCAAAAAATCAGTCAGAAGAGACAAAGACAGTCACTACATACTGGTAGATAGAAGAATAGGCCAAGAAGGGGTGTGTGTGTGTGTATACATCTACAACTGATGTATCGTATATGCAACTGATGTCAGACTACACAACTTTATAAAAATAGAATACTGGGCATAAATCAAGAAAAAAATAGGCTCAATACAATACTAGTGGGTGATTTTTTTTGCGTTCTTTTATTATTAAATTTTTAAACTTTATTTTACATACCAACCACAGTTTTCTCTTCCTACTAGTGAGTGATTTTGATGCTCCTCTTTCATTAACAGATGGATAACCAAACAAAAAAAAACATAGCAAGGAAACCCTGAAGTTAAACACACTATTAAAAGGACATAACAGACATCCACAAAATATCCCCTTCCATAGTCCCAGTTAGTCATCAGCTCATGGAACTTTTTTCCAAAACAGATCATGGTCTTCAACCATGAATTAGATCTAAACAAATACCCCCCCCAAAAAAAGCCATAATTTTTTTGCACTTTATTGAGTCATAACTGAATTAAACTAAAAATAAAGAGCAAGAGAAACTTACAGAATTTTTTAACGCATGAGAATTACAATTACAAATCTCCTTGAACAGTGTCACTGGAGAAAAAAGAGAGAAATGAGAAGTTCCCAGGATCAAAGGAATATGGAAATGCAATATACCACGAACCTGTGAGATACAGTGAGAACATTCCTAAGATGAAGGCTTGTGGACGTGAGTTTTTAAATTTATAAGACAGAGAGATATCAAATTAATAGCCTATTGTTTCCCTCCAGATCTTAGGGAAAGAGCTGATGAAATGGTTCAGCAAATAAAGGTGTCTGCTGCCAAGCCTGATTACCCGAGTTGAATCCCTGGGTCACACATGGCGGAAAGAGAAAACAGACTACTACAAGTTGTCCGCTGACCTTCACACATCAAGGTGGCACCCTGGAACCTACATGTGCACGCAGACACTTAGACTAGATAAATAAGTAAACAAGCATAACAGAAATAATAATTCAGAGAACAGGAGGATAACAAAACCAATTGCTTTTTTACTGCACATGAATCTCCCGGGAAAGAATTGAGATGACTACCAATCCCATTAACAATAAGGGCCACAACTCTAACCCTCCTGCCAAAAAAAAAAGACTTGTGAGTAAACCTAACCAGGGAGATGAGCAATCAATGCAAAGAAAATTACAAAACACTGAACAAAGAAGACATACAGACAAATGAAACGGATATTAAAATAGAAGACCCATAAACAAGGTCACACACAGCTACCTGGGAAGACAGGCTCTGAACATACTGAAGAGCAAAACAAGATGCTTGCCTCTCCTGTACAAAGTCAACTCGTAAGCGGCTCAAAGACCTCAATGTCACACATGACGTTTCTAAAGTAAAGCGTGGATAAATATTCGTGATATTGGCCCAGGAAAAGGCATACTTCTAAACAGGACACCAGTAAGGAAATAACAGGAATTGACAAACGGACTTGCATCAAATTCAAAACCTTCTGCATAGCAAAGGAATCCATTTCCGGGATCAAGAGAAAGCCTTGAGGCTGTCGAGATGTCTCAGCAAGTAAAGGTGCTTGTCACCATGCCTGACAACCTGAGTTTAACCCCCAGGACCCACATGGTGGAAGAAAACAACCAACTTCTGCCAAAAAATAATAGTTTAAAACTTATTTTCAATTAAAAAAAGAAACAATATGCAGGATGGGCAATAATCCTTGCCAGCAATTCATCCATCAGAAGATTAATAACCAGAGTATATAAAGAATGTCAAAAGGTAACACCAGAAGGAGAAACAATCCAACCACTAAAAATGGACCCAAGTACTGAGCAGACATGTCTCCAAATAGTTGTCTATGCCCAATCATTACATGAGGAGACATTCAACATCTTTAGGCATCAGGAAAAGACAAATTGAAATTACATTGACGTTCTTTTTAACCCAGTCACGACCACCAACAGCAAAACAAACACAACAACAAAGCAGTGCTAGAGAGGACTCAGGGGTGGGGCAGGGGTGAGTGTTCCTAGACTAGTGCTGGGAATTGAAATTAGTATAGCTGTGATGGATGCCAGCAGAGGGTCCACAAAAAAGCCAAAAATAGAATTGCCACATGACCCAGCTGTAGCATGTGCCAAGAGGAATCAACATCAGCAGATGCTGTTGATGCCTGAATACGTATGTCTTCAAACACTCCTCATACTGGCCAAGGAAACAGCCTACGTGTCTGTGATGGTCTGAATGAGAAAGTCCCCCTTTGGCCTAGGTGTTTGAATGCTTTGTCCCTAGTTGGTGGCGCTGACTGGGGAGAGGGTGGGAAGTATAGCCCTACTTGAATAAGTATTCCACTGGGGAGCGAACTTTGAGAGTTTTAAAGCCTTGGGCCGCTTCCAGTTCACTCTCCCTGCTCCCAGTTGTAATTGAAGATGTGAGCACTCAGATTCTTGCTCCTGCCATGAGGCTTGCTGCTATGCCTCCCTGCAGTGATGTATTTTTATGTCTCCAGAACTCTTCCGTCCATAGATAAGTCACTTCTGCTTATGGTGTATCATCGAAGCAAAGAGAAGTAACTAGTACAATGTCTATCAGTGGATGAATGTATAAAGAAAACGTAATTTAGAGAGACAATGGTGTACTACCAGCCATAAAGAAGAATGAAGTCATGTCATTTAAAGGCAAATGATGGAACTTGAGATGCTCGTGTTGGAGGAGCCAAGCCAAGCTCAGGAAGATAACGATCCCATGTATTCTTTCACATGGCTTCTAAAGGCTAAGTTCGAAGTGGAGAGGTGGCCCCACCTTAGGAGTACTTACCACTTTTGCAAAGGACCCCAGCTTAGTTCCCAGAACTTATATCAAATGGCTCATAACCGCCTGTAACTCCAACTTCTGGTGATCTGACATCCTCTGGCACCCACATGCACACACACACACACACACACACACACACACACACACACACACACACACAAATAATAATAATAATAATAATAATAATAATAATAATAATAATAAGTCATTTAAAGCACAGATAAATTAAATTAAATAAATAGATAAGACTTAGAGATACAAAAAGTCCTGTTATGAAAAAGAAAGAGAGCTGGAGTGATGGGAGAGAAAGTAGGGGCAGTGAATATGAGCAAAGTATGTTTCTGCATGGATTTCTCACCATTATTCTGTACAGCTAAAATGTACTTTAGAAACAAAACAACAAAATCTTCTGAAAGAATAAGCTTTACCCAAAGAGAAGTGTGGCTTTGCCCTGGGTTACTAGAGGAATTCTGGAATGTTCCCCCTGAGAGGAATATCTTTCTTTTTCTGGGGCCTTAATACAAGATAGTCTGTGTGTTTTAGGATAAGATTTGGGAACATTGTGTTCGGTGCTCACATCCGGAAAAACTAGAGACTTGACAGTTAGTCCAAACCTCAAGCAGCTGATGGAGACTAAAGGTCATCAGTGTAGGCAGGCTGTGGCTGGGGGTCAACAAAGAGCAGGAGCCCAGACACCTGAGCTTCCTGCCCATGAGAACACAACAGCTTCTTTTCCATGTTGTGAGAAGGGCCGTGCATCTTTAAAGATGTCGTAGGTCTAATGTTCGGAATGCTTCCAGATGCTCTTCCTGAACACTGTGCTTTTGCTTCGTCCTGGGGTTTAAAAATACATATTAAAATGTCTTCAAAAGCTCCACAGTGCTTCAAAAACACTACTACTACGATTATTTACTCTGTTTTTGTAGGTCTACCTATGTTTTTCTATTCATTTGCATCATAGGAATGTGTCCATTTGCTTCTATATGGGCCGCTGTTGTCCTTAGCATTCATTCCCTCAGAATTCTCATTTCTCGGACTTTGTAGTCCTATGCTCCATTTTATTCCAGATTTTAGTAATTTGAGTCTCCTCTTTAGGTTTCTTGTCAGTGTATTTAGTTTTATCCATTGTTTGGACTTTTGAAAGAATCAACTTTTGGCTTCACTCTTTCTGCTCCGTATTCCTTCAACTCTCATTCTTTCTTCATTGTTTCCTCCTCTGTTGTCCTTGCTCTGAACATGGCTTACTGTTTTCCTCAGTATCCTTGAGGACAGCTTAGGCTAGCAGCCTGTGCTTCCTTGTTGTGTAACACAAGTATTTGGGACTGTACACACCCCTCTTCACACTGACTCAGTAGGCACCTGGGGCTATACACACCCCTCTTCACACTGACTCAGTAGGCACCTGGGGCTATACACACCCCTCTTCACACTGACTCAGTAGGCACCTGGGGCTATACACACCCCTCTTCACACTGACTCAGTAGGCACCTGGGGCTATACACACCCTTTTTCACACTGACTCAATAGGCACCTGAGGCTATACACACCCCTCTTCACACTGACTCAAGGTTCTGTAAGGTTATATGCTTTGATTTCATTTACATTCAAAATACTAATTCCCAGTATACATTTCTTCTTTGTTTCATTCGTCTATTATTTAGAAACACATTGTTTGGTTTTCAGACATTTGCTGCACTCCTTCATCTCCTCCCCCTCTTTCTTTCCTATTTAATTCCATTCAGACTGGAGAACATCCTGTTGGTAAAGGCAGTCCCATGGATCTTTTCACCCTCTGCTTGACCACATAATAATGAATCAGGGACACTTCATTATTGAGATATAAAGACCCCACACATCCTGTTCTGGGATTATTACACTGTGTGGGGGTGACTTTCCGGGTTTCAGATTCAGCGTGTACTTTTTTCTGCTTAAGCAGATTTTACAGGTTACAAATTGTTAAAAATATAAAATAACTGAGTGTCTTCATATGCGATGCTACATCCCTCAGCAGAACAGAGGACGCCCCCTGCATGTCTGTACTGAGCCATCTCATTGGCCTCCGGAATTCCTGATCAATTGTTAAAATGATAAAACTTCTTGGAATGGGGTTAAGTGTCTTTTAAACCAACCCTCTCAACTAATTTTGTGCACAGCTGTGACTAGGAATCACCTGATGCAGAATCAAGACCTCAGGAGCTATGGAAGTGGTGTTGGCATTTAAAGAAGGCGTTTTTCCTGCCTAACCCATATCTCAAGACACTAGCTAATCCAGAGGCTTAGAACTCAAATCCAGGCCTCTTGCTATCCCCCCCCCCCACACACAGCAGCATTTTACTACCTGGTGTTGTTCCACTGATGATAAAAACCTTGAGACTAAATGACCATGTCATTCAACATCTCCCTCAAAGCAAAAGGTTCACAGCACAGCGTTGGAAGCAAATACCCATGCAATATGGTAAGCTGTCCTCAATGACCAAAGCACTGTGGAAGTTCAAAGCAAGAATTCAGTGGGTGATTAATTATTAGTAAGCCTAATAATTCTGGGAAATAGTCACTAGTCAAATATCTAGTCACTTAGTAAGCCAGCAGGCACCTAGCAGACTCTAACCCACTGTAACTTAGTATCGATGGTTGTGTGATCACAAACTTTCATCTGTAGCCAAAATATTTGGAGACCATGTTCCTATTTAGCAAGGTTTTCTGATCAAAACTGTGCATGCAACCACATCCTTGATGAGTCCAGGGACCCACAAAACAAGGACTTCAGTCTTCCCATAGAGATCACTCTACAGAACGCTGCCATCCATAAACAGCCCTAATGAGGTACAGAGGGACACTCATTGTCCAGACAAAGGCATCTCACCGATGGTCTTCACTGCCTTCCGGAAGCGAGGCCATCAAGCCACAGGTAGAGGTCTTCCCTGCCTCCCGGAAGCGAGGCCAGGCTTTCTTCTTCCACCATGAAGATCACTCTCTGCTTTCCTACTCTCTTCTTCACGACGCAGGTTCTACCAGGTAACAAAATAAACTCTGCAGGGAAAATAATGCTCACCCGAGGTCCAAAAGGCATTCTCACAAGAAATCCAGAAGACCCAATGGTGGAGAGGCCTGTAGTCAGCTGACTCATGTATTTTCCTCTACAACTGTGGGTTAGAGAAAATGACACCAAGACTGTTTCAAGGGCTTGCAACGCTCTTTTCTCCATTGTAAGTGTGAATTTAATTGGACAAAGTTACTAGCAGTTTCTGGATCAGAATAAGTAAAAAAATTGGGGCAATTCTAATAAATCTTTATCTTCAGAGCTCTCTTTTCCCTTCGGAAAAGTTACTGCTCTGTAGGGCCCAGCAGAAGGGATTGTGGGAGTTGTGACCTTGAGAGATTGCTGCAGCCTACAAAATCCCTAATCCATCCCTGTAAAAGCCTGCTTCCTTGGCCTTGATGCTACACCTGAAGGCTTCAGTCCAGCAGCCCTGGTTTTCCCTTCCTTTTCAACACCTACCCTGTTAAAGTAGAACTGAGATAAGGAAATCAGAGAGTGTGTCTGGCGTTCAGCATGAACCGTAAGAAGCAGCACTTTGCTTGGAGTAATGTGTACAGGCTCCTGGATTTAACCTGCCAATGAAAACAAATTAGAAAAATCTCTTTCCTAAAGATGTAGAGCAAGAGATACTAAGCAACACATTGCTTTACAGCAGAAGGAATCCAGTCTCTTCTTCTCTGGTGCCTGCCGGATGGACCTTCAGGGATGGATGGGGTAGAGTCAGAAAGTGGTCTTTTATCTCGCTTACTTTGGCTGCGTGCTTTATATGTGCAAAGAGTCACTGCTAAAAGTGTCCAGCAGAAATGTCATGGAGGTATGATTATCTTGATAAATCGAGTTTCTTTTCTAAGTATGTGCAATTAAAGACTGCTTACAGCTAGCTAGTTCACAGTACTCCATCCTGGGGGAGGGAGGGACGGCTTAGAGCACAATTCCAATTCAGGAAATACAAAGTGGAAAAGGCAGAGATGAAAGTGGGAAGAAAACGGAGATCAAAAACCAGTTTAGCACTGTAGATATTTACTGTGCACTGACCCCCTGCTGGAAAGCAAGCACACAAAGAACAAAATCATCCGGTGACCTCTGATTCACAGAAAGTCATACACCACTCAACTTTGGTTGCTACACGAGACTCTGTTTCCAAAAACCCTTGACATTTGGAAAACCTGTTCTGTTTTGAGTGTGTGTGTGTGTGTGTGTGTGTGTGTGTGTGTGTGTGTGTGTGTGTTTATCATTTTGGTTTGGTGTGGTCTGGTTTGCTTTTAGGAATATGACAGGGTTTCTTGTAGCCCTTGGACTGGCTACATAATCAGGGCTGACCTTGAGTTGCTGATCCTTCTGCATCCACCTCCCAAGTGCTGGAATTCCAGGCATGCACTGCCACATGCCTGTGGTGCTTCATTCCGGTCAAACCCTCCTGCACGCTAGGCAAGTACTCTGGTGACTGAACCAAGTCCTCACCACCCCCCTTACTCACCTTCTCATTGCCATTCAAACAAAATACAGGACGTGTGATGTCACAAAATGAACAGAGGAAAGGCCATTTCTTGTCACCAAAATGGAATGAGAAACGATGTTAAAGAAGCCACAGGAAGGTGGGTCTTCTCCCATGGTCCTTAGGTAGATATCTGCATTCCAACTGCGGCTTTGGGAGGTAAGGTTAGGAGAGAGGAAGAGAGAGAAAGCAGATGGGAAATAGAGAAGGCTGGGACATAAGTTGCAACTCTGTCCTCATACCTCCAACACTGGGTCCCTAGATGATCTAATCCTTTCCCTTGGTCCCATTTCCTCCTCCACCAGTGCTTTGGCAGGAGGATCTGTGGCTCTGTTCTGAGCCTAGATTCTGTTCTCATTCCAAGTAGATAGAAATGACAGGAGTCCACACTGTGAAATGGACAAGGTTTAGTAGCCAAGAAGTTCATTTTACAAAAGCCCCTAATGTCACTTCAATTCTTAGGAGTCCACATGACATGTCACATGCGGACTTAATGTTTGATATCTTCAGCTGTACAAAGCAGCATAAAGCATGTGAACTGAGCATGACAGCAAATTCCTTCACCTATTTGCTACAGAATGGAAACATCAGCAACTCAAGCCATTGTTCCACAGTCATTTCCTGAATTCCCTCTGTGTGCCAAGATTCGAGCCTGGCTCTTGGGTGCACTGAGTGTTCTGAGATTTCTGCCCTTGAGCAATTCATCACCAGAGAGTGACGTCAGATGAGGACACAGCCATGGTAGGAGGCAAGAGGTACTGAGATGGAGAGATGCTCAGTGATTCAGTACAGTGGTCATCCTCCCCAGTCTTCTAAGCTAGGGTGAACCTTCTTGCTACTATGGGACAGCCTAATAGAAGGGGAACCTGTATTTACAGTAATTAGCTAATGAAAAGATGCAAAGCCCAAGAATCAGTCAATTCAGATTTCAATTGGCTTCTGCCTAGCACTCAACACTTAAAAGGTCCATTGGCTTAAAACAAGACAAAACTATACCCTTAAAATTATTTCCCAATTTACATTCTAAATAAAAATGGGCTATTGCCTGCATGTTTTATCTTCTCATCCATTAAGTATTTTCTGTATGAACCACAAAGGCAATTTAATACATTTGAATGTCAGTTCACTTCAATTTAATAGCCCACACTGATTTGAAGGGATTCAAGAATTAGTGTTGGTCAGCTGAAGGGAGGGAATGGGGGTGTGTTTGATCAAAACACATTATATATATGTATAAAATTCTCAAGGAATAAAAATAAATAAGGTGTTTACTGATATAGAATGAAGAAAAACAAAGCATTGACCTTTGTATTCCAGAATACTAAAAAAATGCTTTGATGCTTCTTTAACTCTTTTTTTTTTAAGATTTATTTATTTATTATGTATACAGTGTTCTGCCTGCATGTGTCCCTTCAGGCCAGAAGAGGGCACCAGATCTCATTACAGATGGTTGTGAGCCACCATGTGGTTGCTGGGAATTGAACTCAGGACCTCTAGAAGAACAGCCAGTGCTCTTAACTGCTGAGCCATCTCTCCAGCCCCAGCTTCTTTAATTCTTAATAAATAGCTTAAGAAATTGTCAAAGAAAACACAGGTTTTGTTGCTCAGAATAAAGCCACTTCTGAAAGCATATGAGTGCATGTGACCAACCTCTGGGACAGTCAGATCTTAGGCCATAAAACAAATACTATCCAATGTTTCAAACAAGTGAATCTGGCTATCTTTTTCGGAACTTGAATGATTCACTCTTAATGCAATGGTTTCTAAAGCAGAGATGTGACCACAACTAGAATCAGAGAGCAAAGAATGAATGATGTGACACCAAGGTGTGACAGATAACAGTGAGAATGTATGTGTCCATGAGCTGTGTAGACATATAGTTCTCTTTCCCGAGAAGAATATCATCTCTCTAGCAATGTCCCTGAGGTGTATTTTCTTATAGGTCAATATTTTAGTTCTACTTCTAAAAGATAAATATGGGCCGGGCGGTGGTGGCACACGCCTTTAATCCCAGCACTCGGGAGGCAGATCCAGGCGGATCTCTGTGAGTTCGAGGCCAGCCTAGGCTACCAAGCTAGTCCCAGGAAAGGCGCAAAGCTACACAGAGAAACCCTGTCTCGAAAAACCAAAATAAATAAATAAATAAATAAATAAATAAATAAATAAATAAATAAATAAATAAAAATAAAAGATAAATATGTAAATATGGGAGATACATACATACACAGGTACATAGATAGATGATGGATAGATAGCATATAATATCTAGAGAGTTATCTAAAAACCTTCTAGAAGAATCAGCAGTGAAGAAATGGTATTAAAAACCTGTCTCTTTCTTGTCATTGTTGTTAGAAGATAGGAAAGAGAAAGAATAAAGTACTGTGTGCGTGCCTAGAACTCATGAAGTAGAGAACACTACTCAGCCTCAGCCTTCTGTTAACTTAGATATGCCCAATGTTGCCAGATTTCTCAAGAAGAAATTTCCAAATGTTTTGTGACATCAGGTGTAGTGGTATTTGCTCTGCACATGACCTTGGGCGATAAGGCCCGAAGGAGGTGGTGCTTCTTGCTGTTGTACATGACCTCTTAAAAAGAGAAGAGAGAGTATTGGGGACTAAGGGGATCCAGGACCTCGAGAGTCCCCTTCTAGGGTCCAGGAAGAATCTACAACCAGCTGATAATTAATCTTTGAAGAAAAGAAATGAATCTATGTACACGAAATTCCTTAGTCCATAAACTTTATTATTCTGTGTTGGTTCTCTCTCTACAAGCTTATACTCTGCTCTCATTTTTAGCTCATTTCTTGCCCAATTTCTCCTTACATTTATCTGTTGTCCCCTCCAGGTTCTATCTTAATTTTTTCATCTTAGTTCTGCCCCATCTAGGTTCTCATCCATCTAGTTCTTTCCCATATCAGCTCCTCTTCCATCTCCTTTCTCTTTCATCTTGTTCTTCCCCATCTGGCTCTTCCTCATCTTCCATCTCATTCCTCTAGTACTCTCTTCTAGCCCTTCAATCTAGTTCTTCCCCATCTCAGTTTGTTCCTCTCAAGTTCTTACCCATCTAGTTCTTCCATTCTCTTTTCTCTTCTCCGTTCCCCTGTGCCCTGGAAGTCCTGGTATATATACACTTACAAGCAGTAATCCCTTGGCAGTGTAAAGCCAGGCTTCCAGGGTCAAATGAAGGGGTGATAAGAATCACATAGAGGGGCAATAACCATTAATTATCATTTGCAACCCCAAAGGGAAGTGACCAATGGGGAAATGAATTAACTAAAGGCTAAATTCAAGTAATATCTAAAAAGAGGGATCTTATGTGCTCAACTAATAGTCTTAAATGTGATTGGTAGAAAATGTTAAGAATCTGTAAGTTGCTAGGTCAGTGGGAGAAAACAAAACTGCCTTCTTTTTTCCTGTGGCTCCTATCTGTCCAAGCTATCTGCCATTTTTCTGCAGGGTGGGGGAAAGTGTGCTTGGTCGCTAGGCAACCTGTGTACAGCTAGATGCCTCTGGTGATAGTTAAAGGGAGATCTGGAACTAGAGGTAAGATTTGGAAAAGAAGGAAGTTAAGCTTAATTGGCACATCCACCAGGCTTTCTCATACAGGTAGCCTGGATCTTTAAGTCCATTCTTAGAGAGTACAGAGGTATCTCTGATAAGGTACTTTCCTCCATCTGGGGATGGACCTGGTCGGATGCTGTCAATGATGACAATTACAGGGAGGCTTGAACTGGGGTTTGGACTGAGCATAGTTATTAGCTCAGAAGGTTATCTAAATATTCCTAGGAGTGGTTAGGTAAGGAGTTAGAGGTCTATAAAGTTAGTAAGGCTGTAAGAAAGGAGGGTCTGAGCTAAATTGTGTAAAGCTATTACTTAATGTCCACCTGACCTAGGTGGTGTCTCCTTGTGGAATTTACCTTAAATCAGGAGACTTGCATGTGGACTGTTATTACTGTTAGTCCTTGAAAGTGGCTAAGGGAGATATCTGATTCCAGAGGAAGCCTTTCCTGAGGCTGTTCTCCAAATACCTGGAATGTGTATGTCCAGAGAGTGATCAGTCCACACTGTTAGCCCTTCCTTAGGGAAAAATCAATTGGGAAAACTATGAAGGCACACATGATTTTCATAACAGAATACAGCTGATATATAACAAGCCAAATAACACCAAAAGCTCCTTGGAATTTGGCTTCCTCTGGAGGAATTACTTGATCCCTCCAGGCAGTGACTTTGCCATAACCAGCTGAGTTCTTGTGATATATTCCTGTAGCCCGCAACAAGAGAGGGTTCACAAGGTTTCCCTTCCTGGTTCCTGCTTCCTGATGTAATTGGACACTGGATGGCCTGGGAATTGAACCCAGGTCCTCTAAAACATCAGTCAGTGCTTTTAACCACTGAGCCATCTCTCTCCTCTCCATCTCTCTCCTCTTTTTTTGGAGAGGAGAGAGGGGTCATGTGGTCCCTTCTCTCAGTTGGTAGAGCATGAGACTCTTAATCTCAGGGTCATTGGTTCATGCCCCATGTTGGGTGCCATGTAATGTGATAAATCTACTGGAGTCTGTTTAAGGAATATTAGGGAAATTTATTAGAGTGAGGAAATACACTCACAAATATAGAATGGAGTAGACAGCTGAAGTTGTTCTCTGATCTGACTGGGAGCTAATCCACATCAGGAAGCAGGCAGCAGGGAGAAGGACTCATGATCCCTCTCCCTTTCCTTTTAAGAGGTCATGTAAATGGCAAGAAACACTGCCTCCTTCTGGCCCTATAGGCCAAGGTCATGGGCAGAGCAAATATCATTACAATCAGGTTTTTAAGTATTGGTGTAAAAAATCAAGTAACAATGAACATACGTACAAAGTTATTTCCAGATGTGACCCCCTCCTCCCAATCTGTGTACTAAGTAAAAATTCATCAAGTCAAGTAAATAGTTATAATAACCCTCTCTGGACGTAGTCAGGGGCAAGTTCAAGGAAATCTGTTAACTTCTAAATGGTGTCTGCCAATCACACTGCATTGAAACAGAAGTCTATGTTGGGATGTGTTTAAATAAATGACCTTGCTGCCTGCCCACAGGGCATCAACCCAGAGGTGAGGATGCTACAACCAAGAGCTGAAGTCTTTCACTTGGATCCTTCATAGTCTGCTTACCCTCGCGCCTCTCTCTCTCTCTCTCTCTCTCTCTCTCTCTCTCTCTCTCTCTCCTTTCCTCTATTTTTCTCTTCTGTATTTTATTATAAATTCTTGTTCATTACTCAATAAATAATAAAGCAAAATAGCAAAGAGAAGGCTGTGGTTTTTTTTAATTATTATTTTATGTGTATGGGTGTTTGGGCTATATGTATGTCTATGCACCACAAGTGTTACAGGTGCAGGTATGGGCCAAAGAAGGTGTTGGAATCCTTGGAACCGGAGTTACAGACAGTTGCAAACTGTCATGTGGGTGCTAGGAATTGAACCTGGGTCCTCTGAAAGAGCAGCCACTGAGCCGTCTCTCCCTGAGAAGGCTGCTTCTTAAAGTGTGTGTTCCAGAGGATCTGATGCTATCTTCTAGCCTGTGTGGGCACTGAATGCATGTGGTACACAGATAGGCATGCAGGCAAAACACTCATACAAAGAAAATAAAAAGACATAAAAATATTAAAGTGTGTATCTTACCTCATCTTCTGCTGTGGTTGGGTTCCCAGGGTATTCTATTCTCCTACCTGGTCTAGGTGAACTCCTGGTTCCCAGTGTCCCCTGTGGAGTGGGAAAACGGGTATCACAGCCATGGCCTTTGTCCAGCATCTCAGTCCTTCTTCACCCTGTTTCTGCGTCGACTCCCTTTTCCCACGGCAAAAATGCACTCCCTCTCATGCAAAGGGAATACACATCCTCACAAGGATGCAAGGGGCCTCCATCCCTCACTGAAAATGGACCAACAACCTAAGTGTTAGCTTGGAAACAACAAACTGCTAGAAGAGAATGGTGGAGAATTTAACAAGTTGGGTAGACAGCGTGGGTTTTTTTTTTTTTTAAATCACACCCCAAAAGCAAAGGCAACAACGTGAAACTATGCAAATGGAATAATCTCAAACTCTAAAGCATCTTGGCATCCAAGAAAGCAATCAGCAGACTCAAAGGACGAACTGCTCACTGGGAGAAAACATTTGCACTCCATTTATCTGATGAGGAAGTAATATCCAGAATATACCAGGAACTCAGGATACAGCGAGAAACCCTGATGTTTTTTTAAAAGGGAAAGTTATTTGAATAGACCTTTCTCAAAAGAGAACATACAAATAGCCAAAAAGTGTAGCAGGAATCTTAAAACGGTTGGTTACTTCTACAAAAAAGTATATAGAAAAATTGTAAGTGACCAGAAAACGCAAGTTATGTGCATACTAGGGTGTCCCGTCACCCCAGTTGGGACGGCTATTATCAAAAAGAAAAGAAAATCACAAAAGCCAGTGAGATGGTGAGGGAAAATGACTCACACGATGCCAATGGGGATAGAAATTAGTACAAAGCAGAGTAGAGGCTGCTCAGAGTTACAGGCAGAGCCACTGGGTCCAGCAGTGGCACAGCTGGACACAACTGCAACACTCTTTTCAGGAGCCATCTGTCTGCACTCCAGTGTTTACTGCAACACGAGTCACATTAGCAAAGAAACAGAACACACCTAACTATCGTGGGGAGATAAAGAAAATGTGATATCGGTATCATGAATGCAATAAAATAGCATCCCATCATTTAAAAGGAACAAAATCCTACCATTGTCAGGAATGTGGGTAGAGCTGGAGATTAATTACAATGTTCTGTGACGCCAACCACAGGAAGACCAACACCACATTATTCCGTTCTACCCTGTTCTCTCCGGGACATAGACACCCCCCCCCCCCAACTGGCAACTCTCTAGTGAGCTCCTCTCTTCATGAAGCTTTTGAAAGGTGTCTGAACATTGTTTTCATCTGTGACAACATGGGTAGAATCGGAAAATGTATGAAGTGAAACCAACCAGACCCAGAAATGCAAATAGTGTGTTCTCACTCACTAGTGGAAGCTTAAGGAGGCTGATAATCTGTGAGAGGAGAGGAGATTAGCCATCACTGGAGGATCAGCTGGAGCAGGGAATGGTGAGGAGTGAGGAAGTGGAGAATAGACAATACCAGTGGGGGAAGAAGTTCTGTTACACAGCATGCCATACTTTTAATGTCGGTTTTTGAAGCTGTCATACATGCCTACCACCCCTCCTCCCTCTAACTCCTCCTAGATCTACCTCCTCTACCTACTCCTCCCCTCTCTGCCCCTCACCTCCCTGCCCCTCCCCTCCTTTCCCCCACTCCCAATTTTGTATCTTCTATTTTTTCTTTTTTGCAAGATATGCCCATAGGTACAGCAGTGTCAAGAACATTCTAGGATCAGGCATGGCAGCGCACACCTTTAACCCCAGCACTCAGGAGGCAGAAGCAGGCAGATCTCTGTGAGTTCGAGGCCAGCCTGGGCTACAAAGAGAGTGCTAAGACAGCCAGGATCATTACACAGAGAAACCCTGTCTCAAAAAACAAAATGAAACAACAAAAATAAAAAAACCAAACACACACACACAAAGAAAGAACACTCTATGGTGTTCTGCTCAGATTTAAGACCCCTCCTAAGAAAGAAGCACATGCCTACTGTGTAAATCTGACCAAGGACCAGAGTTGGGGAGCTCATAGGCCTCAGGAGTAAACCTACTGCTATTATTTGTCAAAAAATACCAAGGTATCATGTTGTCCTCTTTTTACCCATAAATCAGAGCAGCTGTCAGACCTCATTAGAGAAGATTCTTTGTGCAGTGGACAATGGTTAATACAGAAACTCACAACTGGTCAAAATGCAGAGAAATGACTGTGGAGTGCTCAGCTACAAATGGAACATCTGTGTAACACACACACACACACACACACACACACACACACACACACACACACACACACACACTACAAGGGTCAGGAACCATTGCACCCCCAAAAGGAAGGAAAGATATTAAGAGCCAGGGGTCAGGGGTGAGCAGGGCAAATCATGTCTTCTGGACATGATAGGAACTGTCCTCATGAGCTTATGCCCCCTGTGATCTGCCTGCATAAGACCTGCCTGAGATCACGCCAGTCAGTATTTCAGCACAAAGTGGGAAGGGGTTCGTGAGTGCCCCACCCTAACTGAGGAGCTGTGGGGAGTTGACAGCTCCTGGGGGAGGGGGAGTTTGTTTTCTTTAAAGGTGTGGCCCGGGGTAGGTGGAAAACCTTGCACTGTAAGTATACAGACAGCACAAAGGGAATGTGATGGGCTATTAGAAAAGATGGGTAATATTTAATTAAAGAGTTCAAAGCGCTAGGGGATGTTTGATCATGTTCGCAGGAAGAGAGTTGCTAATTATCGTCATTTGACTGTTACATGCTGTGTCCACGTAGCTGATGACAACAGCCCTCCACAAACAGACATAAACAGTATATGCCCTGTGAAAAATTTAATCATGAATTGTGTTTTCCAAAAAGAGAATTGGCTAAAGATACTGACCTCTGGTGAAACTGAGAGCACATAGCAGAAGGAAAAGATTGACCATCTGGTTTCCTATTATTAGGTTAATTTGTCACCAAATTTAGAAACTCTAAGGTTTGGAAATATTCCAACAAAAGCAGTTTTTCTTCTTTGCATGTTAAGCTTCACTGAACAGACAGAACCTCAGGCCCCCAGAAATAAATAAAAGCTCTGCACTTCACCATCACTGACCACCTTCCACACTGCTGGCCACTCAACCATGAGACCTCATTCCTGCCTGTCTGTCCTCTTCCTCTTTGTAATGATAATGCCGAAAGGTAAGCCTGGAAATGAAGGCAGGAGCAGGGCTTCTTAGGAGGTCTACTGAGGTACACAGCTATACTTTGTCCCTTATAACTAAGATGTCAGCACGTGGACTTGAGTATCCCAAAGTCCAACATTTTCAGAACTGATGAGGTTCAAATTCAGAATTGAGTGGAGGAATCCTATCGACATAAAATGGGGCCCAAGAACCCCACCACTGAGAGGGAAAAGCCAAGGTAAAGAAACAGAGGCTGAGAAACTACTTGACTAAAAACTTAAGTCAATATACTTTTAAAAAAATGGCTACCACCAGCACCCTAGTCTTCAAGGGAGTGCGGAGATAAATGAACTCATATTGCTGAGTAGATGGAGACATACAGTCTATTGATGAGACGTGCATGTAAACACTAGAAGCAAATAAGAAAACTCGGGACCAGAGGAATTATGGGGAAAGTGAAGATAATGGGAAGTGTCAATTTTAAAAATGTTAATTGTAAGGTGACAGGAAGTGCGTAAGAATCTGGTTGCATCCTTGAAACACACAATTCACACATTTGAATGTTAGTTCATAGAATCGAAATTAAAGCTGCTCCAGTTCTCTTTTGGCTGGTTCGTGCAGATTCTGGTGAGAACTTACAAAATTCATTCCCTACTACTTTTTGGAAGAAAGGGGGCTTGCTGAGCATACCTGAGGGAGCAGGGGGCTGGACAGTAGTAACAGCACTGCCCACCACCAGCAGGGTGCCCACATCTCTCTGTCCTCACCAAGAGAACCCTTCTCGGCTCATCTCTGAGATCCTCTTAGAGCACAGCCAAAGCCTCTCACTTGTGGCTTTAGGCCTAATTTATGAACATCTTCATATCTAACCTGGCACATAGCTGCACTCTCACAGAGGAGTTGATACAATCCTCAGTTTATTTCTCAGCCCTAGTCAGAAAGCATGGCTCAGGTGGACAGACTCGCAGGAACTTGTGATGTAAAATATGATGGTAATTATCTGAACGTAGATGGCACTTTAGCGGTCATATCTTTCACTGTAGATAACAGAAGCCATGATCATGTGAATAAGATGCTTTAACTAAGATCACACATGTGGTTGCAACATTGAACCCTGTGTCTCTTCCTCTGGCTCATTCTCGTTTCCACCAATCCACGCGGACATAAAAATGGCAACTGATTTCTGCCAGACTTTTCCCTCAAGGTCTATTAACTGAGTATTGAGGCAACTAGAGAGATTCTTTGCCATGTGTGACAACATTAAAGAACCCAGAGGTTACTAAGCTGGGTGGGATAAACCAAAGGTGTCATTCTGCTATATAAGTTAATCAAAATCGGAACAGACACTATGATGGTGGTTATCAGGGCTGGGAGGTGAAGAGGACAGGGGGATTTGATATAAAAATTCAGTTGGACAATTCGGTGAGTAAATTTTATAGATGAATTCTAAAACCTCCTGACCAGAGCTCTTAAAAATGTGAAAAGGTTGGAACTCACAGTAAGTATTCTTATGGTAATAAAATGGAGTACTGAAGGGCTATTGAGGGGGAGGAGGAGGAGGAGGAGGAGGAGGAGGAGGAGGAGGAGGAGGAGGAGGAGGAGGAAGAGGAGGAGGAGGAGGAGGAGGAGGAGGGGAGAGTTGGCCTTCTGCAGAGCTGACAGGGAACTCAGAGGCCTCTGACCTCAAGATCCCTGACCCTGGAGATCAACTTTCCTTTGCTCTTCCCAAATCGGTTGCACTGTGAGGACAGAGTTCCTCAGTGGAGAGGAGCACTTCACATGGCCAGGTCTCTTGTGAACCCAGAATGTCAAAGACGCAGGAAAAGATCAAAGCATGTAACTTTTATTGTGTTTTTTTTTTAAATTCTTTTTATTGTTTGAGAGCTTTATGCATGCATATAATGTGTTTCGATGAAACCCACCCTCTCGTCCCTCTTCTCCAGGTCTTCCTCTCGTCCCTCCACCACTTTTCTCTCTTAGTGTCATGTGCTTTGTTTTACTTTTATTGATTGATTTTTGCTTCAGCTGCTGTTTCTTGACATTCAGGTGGACACTCTAGCACAGGTCTGGAGATGCTGCAGCAGGGAAGGTGGAAATGCAGTGTGAGTGTCTGCAAAGACAGCGGAGGGGTGCACAAGGAGGTGGGGAGGACAAAGCTGTTGGGGAAGCAAGTCAAGGCCAGGGCCAAAGGTTATCTACACTGGAACCTGGACCCCGTACCCTAGCCCCTGTGTGCTTTGTTTTTAAAACCACTGAGTCAACTTCTCCTAAGGACCATAAGCAGATGCATGACTTTTATGTAACATCCACCTTCATCATCAGTGGAAAGAATGAACCTCTGTGGTGCTGAAAAGGCTAGCGGAAGGGCACTGACATGCAGCCTTAGCCATGCTCTCCTCAACAGCCAAATGAATTAAGAAAACATGTGGATATACTTGAAGAAAACTTTCAGCTCTGAAAAGTCTTTCCACGCACGACACACAAGTGGCATCGAGTAACTCAATAAAGGTGTTTCTTATGCAGTCCTGAAGGGGGTGCTGAGCTGGAAGTGGAAGGATGGGCTGATTTTCTACAAAGTGAGTTGGAGATGAGAACATACGCATCTAATAAAGATGCTGTTGAAACTGCTTCTTGGTGGAGGTATTGATGCCTTCAGTGAAGGGTGATTCAATAGAGAGGAAACAGAACAAGACATTGTGTGTCCACTAAAGTTCCAAAGACACCTTCTCCATCATGTTAACAGTAAACACTTCCACACACTTAAGATGTGCTGCCCAGGGTGAGGACCACATCTCTAAAATCCCACAAGTTAGCCTGCTAACTCCAAGGTATCTATAAAAAAAAAAAAAAAAAAAAAAAGGCACTACTTCTGTATAAGCACATGATCTTCCTGTGTAGACAATATTTGTCTCCCATTCCAAAGCCACCTTCTGGTGTTGGGGCTTCACCCATATTTACAGTACATTGAAAGTGAATTAACAGTGTTGTCCAATGTCTTTCTGCACAGGAGAGGCTGGTTTTCTCCCAGGGGAAAAGCAGTGCATTTTTCTGAAAGGGGTATGCAAAGACATAGCATGTACATCCACGGATGACACCATCGGCGAATGTAACGATGAGAAGAAGTGCTGTAGGAGATGGTGGGTGCTTGAGCCCTACCCAACACCCATTCCCAAAGCGAAGTCTCCTTAGACTGGAGACAACTGCAAGTCCTTCAAACTCCGGCAAGCAAGGACAAGCTTTGCAGACTTCTGCTTAACCACACTCACCTTCTCTCTTGCCTGTAAATAAATGTCCTGAGTCCATACTTACTGGTCTCTGCAAGCCTCTTAAAGTTCTTCCGGAAGTTAGTAAAAAGAGTTGAGAGGGGAAATCCCCACACTGCTTCAGGATGTATTGGAACACCTCTGCTCAGTGTCCAACTTCATCACTTTAAAAACAGGTTTGAGAAATTATTTGGGATTTATCATAGCAATACTCTCCTCTCTAAATAATAATAATAATAATAAAATAATAATAATAATACAACTAGAAGAAAATGTACGAGAACCTCATATCTTGAAAATATTTAAGCAAAGTGAGCTTCCAAAAAAAATCAAGGTAGAACTTTATTTTTTTTTATTTTTTATTTTTTTGAGACAGGGTTTCTCTGTGTAGCTTTGTGCCTTTCCTGGATCTCACTCTGTAGACCAGGCTGGCCTTGAACTCACAAAGGTCCGCCTGGCTCTGCCTCCCAAGTGCTGGAATTAAAGGCGTGCGCCGCCGCCGCCGCCGCCGCCGCCGCCGCCGCCGCCGCCACCACCACCCGGCTAAGGTAGAACTTTAAACATGTGAAGTAATGAATCTGAAGTACACAATGATGGATTGCCTTCACTGGAATATAAACCCTTTCTCTCATCTGCTCCTGAAAACATAGCATTTTTCTAGGCTGGGAGTGAAGTTCAGAACCAAAGCACTTGACTAGCCCTGGCTTGAACCAATAAGTATAAATATAATTTTTCACTACTGATGAGTTCTACTTGGAGCATGCATATGGGTAAAAGGCTGTCAGTCATGTGATCTTGCTGACACTGCCCCTGAGAATCAGGCTGTAATCCCTACTTCCTCCCCGAGAATACAACCTCAAGTAACAGAATCCAAATCCTTAAAATCGAAAAAAAGACTACATTTCTTTGTGTTTATTACAAAAGACTAAAAAATTCCTAAATCATATAATTCTGGGAGAATATAACTTTAAATTTCCTTACAATACATCTATTAATGTAAAAGGGTAATTTATCTGTGGAACTTTAAAACACGACAGACCATCTTACAGACTAGTATGTACAGCAAAATACTTAGGATAAACACACATGGCTTTGCATAATAACAATGGTTGCACAGGTAAAACAATTATGAACAGGTCAGATATATCATAAATAAGCCAAAGTGAGATATACAAATGCATACCACTGTGATATTCTCCATTTATAACCACGGTAGTTTAAAAAATCATGACAGATACATGAAGTCTATTAACAAAACCAGCAAGAAGACACTATGAATTCTCACCATCGGTGACCACCCAACAAGCCAAAACCTTTTTATCTTCCACAAGTGAAGAAATACCAAAAAAAAAAAAATGGCATGTCTTCATTAACTGAAAAAGTCTCAGCATTTCTGTGCATATGCACAATATCAAAACATAAAGATGCCTTGTTATATACTCTGTGCACTGCTTTTGGTGCATGAAAATCTGTTCTGGTTGGTTTTTGTCAACTTAACACAAATCTAGACAGTAGAGAGACATTAGCCTCTCTAAGACTGACCTGTAGGGAGGGGCATTTTCTTGATTAATGTTTGATGTGGGAGGTGTCCAGGCCATTGTGGGTGGTGCAACCCCTGAGCAGGTGGTCCTGGGTTCTCCAAGAAAGCAGGCTGAGCAAGCCATGAGGAGCAAGCCAGTAAGCAGCATTCCTCCATGGCCTCTGCTCCAGTCCCTGAATTGAATTCCTACCCTGGCTTTGCTCTATGACAGACTACAAGCTGTAAGCTGAAATAAATTCTGTCCTCCCCAGGATGCTTTTGGGCATGGTGTTTTAGAAATCCTAACTAAGACAAAAATCCATTCCTCTTGCCCTCGCATACAGACTTAAATTGGACAAAAATAATCCAATTAATGTGATAGCATCTTTCATATGTGTCTTCTTACCTCATGGGTCACATGATTATTTCTAAGTATACAGTAACTTTCAGGCTTCTTCAGGCAAACAGAGCTTTGCTTCACTGAAAGCTCTTGGAATCTCATCAAAGCTGGAGGGATGCCAATGCAGGCCAAGGAGAGGGTGTGGGTGGGTGTGTTGTTTGTGTGTGTGTGCTTGTATGCCTAAGTGTGTACAGGTACCTGCAGAGGACAAAAGAGAACACCAGATTCCCTAAAGCTGGAGTCACAAGCACTTGCGAGCTGCCTGATGTGGGTGCTGGGAACCAAACTTGAGTTCCTGACAGAAGAGCAAGTGCTCTGAGCCACTCTCCAGCTCCTCCTTACCAAATGTCTAGGGAGAAGTTAAAGTCTGAAACCCAAACTCAAAGAACAAATCTCTCTAAAGACATAGCAAAGCCCAAAGACATCAAAATCCATATGAATTAGTTCCTGAACTGATCTTTCCCACACTGGGATCCAAAGTTTTCAATTAAATAACTGAAAACTTCAGCATCGGTTTTGGATTCTTCGTTACAAAGACCCTGCAGTGACTTGGGAAGCTTTAATTGATGCAGTATCTGGTCTCCCGTGGTCTTCACGTTTCATCTGAGCAAAGGATCAGATAAGAGGAATAGAAACTATACCAGACAGCTAAGGAGACGGCTCTTTTGGCAAAGTTCCTACCACACAAGAACCAAGACCGGAAGTTAGATCGCCAGAGTTCTGTTTAAAAGCCCAGCATAGAGCCACGTGGCTATAACCCCAGTCTTGGGATGGGAGGGCAAACTGGGAGTATCCTTGAAGCTCATTGGCCAGCCATCCTAACAACTGATGATGCGCTTCAGGTTCAGTGAGAGATGCTTTCAGAAAATCGTAGAGGGCAATCAAGACAAGACCTCCACCCACACATGCACACGTGTGTGTAGACGAATTTCTAAGCGGTCTTATTAAATAAAAAACATGGAACCAAATATAGGGGTGAAAGCCTTAGAGATCAGGGAAATAGGAATAGCCACCAGCTAACCTTACCTCACCACGCTGCAGCTTCCAAAGTGCCACGACTTCCTGTCTGCCCAGGCTTTTATTGCCTTGCTGTTCTGCCCTCTCATTGGCTCTTAGCCCAGTTACCTCACTTCCTTATCACTGCCTGTCCATACAGACCTCCAGGTCTCTATGGTTGGTGCTAGGATTAAAGGCATGTATCACCACGCTTGGCTCTGTTCCCTAGTGTGGCCTTGAACATACAGAGACCCTGCCTGCTAAGTGATAGGATTAAGGGTGAGTGCTACCACTGCCTGACTTTTGTGTTTACTTAAAATGGCTTGCTATTTCCTCTGATCTCCAGGCAAGCTTTATTTATTAACATAGAAATAAAATACCACCACTTTCAGCACAAATAAAACATCGCCACACATATGTGTGTGCACTCCCACTTATACAACACCACACCACACACACATAATAAATAAAAATAAGATTAATTGAAAAGTTTTTTAAATAAAAAGAAACAAGATCAAAAGGAGGCAAAATAAAAGTCTTTACACTCTCCTCTCTGCAGATAGGAAGCAAAGGAAGTAAATGATGACATTCTGGAGTAAGTGGCCATTGGACTCAGCAAGTCCCCAAGAGATGGGAACCCCTTCAGACATGGATGCTTGGGATGCTGACCCTAGAGTCATGACCAGGGGACTTCCCACAGAAGAAAGGGCAATTAGCATAGCCTAGGTGAATTCCATTCTTTTGAACAACATCAATCCTAGCTACAAGAGAGTGCCCCACTCATCACAGGCTGCAAGCCAAATTAGGAGACCTGGAATCCCCACAGTAGCTCCGCTTCAGGAAAGAAACTTGCCGTGCCCTCCCCCCAGTTCATGAGATCGGGCTTAGCCACTACACACTGTCTGCAGAAGCCACTGTGAGGATCCGTTCTTCCTGGGAGAACACTAATTTCAGTGTACAAGCATCCCTGGAATCCCACCACACTTGCTCTAAAGTCTGTAACCCCGTAAACCTACATAGACCCACAAAGCAGAACCCAAGACACGACAGTGCCCTACAATACAGGGACCGGCGCTTGGCATAGTGGGAGGTATGGCTGGAGGCTTGACCCCTGTGTTCCAAGACTGGTCCCCCTGCCCACACCCGTGGTGTCCATTGCTGCCTTCACCAAGTGCCAACACTTTTGACAGAGTTCCTTCTTCACTTCAGTAAAAGCATAGACACACCAGAAGTGAAGGACTGGAAAGAGCTATTCTTGCAAGTAGAAAAAAAAAAAAAAAAAAAGATATACGCAGAAGCCGCTATACTCAGTCAGCTAAAATCGAGGGGGATGGGAGAAGAAGAGATCAACAGGTCAGTTCAATATGAGGAAAACAACAATTTTATATACAACCACTACTGGAGTACCCAATTACACAAAGCAAAAGTAGACATTGTTAGAGCTTATGATGTTTAGTGTTAATTGTCAACTTGATGTGATCTGGAATTGCCAGGGAGATGGGCCTCTGGGCCCAGGTGTATTGTTTTGTAACTACTTCCTCAGAACAGAAATGTTTCATGCTAGAGGGAAGAGGGGGACTCATAAGACACACAACTCTTACAATACCTGTAAGACCCAGGAAGCTCAGAAAGCCACAAGATCTAGGAGGCCCCTCTGCTGTGGGATGTCTTTCTGTATGCCGTGAAGATGTATTGCTCTGACTGGTTGATAAATAAAGCCGTATTGGCCTATGGCAAGGCAGCTTAGAGGCAGGCAGGAAATTCAAGCAGATAGACAGGAAGAAGAAAGGAAAGAGAGGAGGAGACGCCAGCTGCCACCAAAGGAGAAACAAGATGCCAGCAGACTGTTAAAGCCATGGAACATGTGGCAAAACATAGATTAATGGAAATGGGTTATTTTCAGATATAAGAGCTAGCTAGGGAAAAGCCTGCCATAGGCCATGTAATTGGTAATTAATATTAAGCCTCTGAATGATTATTTTATAAGCAGCTGAGGCACCGCACGGCTGGG